GGGTCTTTGGGAGGCAATTGGCAGCAGGCGGTCTCTCAAGTACCCAGGTCCAATACCATGAAAGGCTTTGTAAGTGATAACTAGCACCTTGAAGCGTATCCGGAGACCAATCGGTAACCAGTGCAGCTCGCGGAGGATAGGTGTAACGTGGGTGTATCGAGGTACACCCACAATCGCTCACGCAGCTGCATTCTGGACAAGTTGAAGTCTCCGAATGCTCTTCAAGGGCTGAAAAGAGAAAAAGAAAAAGAGAAGGAAGGCAGAGAAAGAGAGAAAGAGGAATAGAGAAATAAAAAGAGAGAAGGAAGGAAGGGCCCTTGTGATGCAGTGGTTAGAATGCAGTATTGCAAGCAACTCTGCCCACTGCCAGCAGTTTGATCCTGACTGCTTCAAGGCTGACTCAGCCATCCATCCTTCCAAGGTAGGTCAAATGAGGACCCAGAGTGTTGGGGACAAGAGGCTGACCCTGTAAACCCCTTAGAGAGGGCTGTAAAAGCACTGTGAAGGGGTACATAAGTCTTATGTACTATAGGAAGGAAGGAAGGAAAGGAAGGTGGAGAGAGAGAGAACGAGGAAGAGAGAAAGAAGAAGAGAGAAGGAAGGAAGGCGGAGAGAGAGAAAGAAGAAGAGAGAAGGAAGGAAGGAAGGGCCCTGATGATGCAGTGGTTAGAATGCAGTATCGCAGGCAAACTCTGCTCTCTGCCAGCAGTTCAATCCTGACCAACTCAATGTTGACTCAGCCTTCCGTCCTTCTGAGGTGGATCAAATGAGGACCCAGATTGTTGGGGGAAAGAGGCTGACTCTGCAAACCCCTTGGAGAGGGCTGTGAAGCTAAGTCTAAGTGCTATTATAAGATGGGCAGGTATATAGATATTTTAAATAAAATGAATATTCGGTTGGTAACCAGATCAAAGAAACTGCCAGGCCTGCAGAAACTGGAGAAGCGACCACAGCCAGGTAGAACTTGGCGTCCCAGATGGAACGAACGCCGTCTTCACATCTTCTCCAATCTCCTCCATTTCCCCCCCTTCCTCCTTTCCCTTAACTCCGCTCCTTTCTCAGATACATCTGCATCCGAGGCGTCTTCATCCTGACTACCGAATGTACCTCCTTGACGGTCACGCTGGTCGTGACGCTGCGGAAGTTCGTCAGCCTGATCTTCTCCATCCTCTACTTCCAGAACTCCTTCACCGTCTGGCATTGGCTGGGCACCTTCTTGGTCTTCGTGGGGATGTTGTTGTACACGGAAGTGTGGAAAAACCTGGGGTTCGTACGAGCCTGCGAACCGAAGGAGGTGGAGAAGAAGCGGGAATGAGCTTTCCGTCGGATGGAAGGTCTTGATCGCGAGAGCGTTTTGTACCGTTAGGACGGGAAAGGGGCCAAGATTCTTCGCTGGCAGGGCAGGAAGGTTGATTTTTGTAACACAACAATCACAACTCTTGGCTGGGCCAAGCTGGCGCCCCTCCCTTGGAGAAGGGGAAAGCGGTTTTTGCGCCTTTGGGTTGTCGAGGTGACAATGGGGGGTTTGTTTGACTGAAGAGGAATCTGATCCATGGTTTGGTGGCTCCTGCGACTCCATTAATTGGGCAGTTTTGCCCCCAAAGTTTGCAACCCCACCCCCCCCAAATATTCAACATCGGCTTCTTTCGGTTGATATCAAAACTATTGGGGTCAAACGTGGACTTTAAAACAAATATATGTGGAGTGGGGCGGTGCCTCACCTTCAGGAGGCTGTTGGTTCAATCCTAGGTAGAGGCAAATATTTCTCTCTCTGAGCACAATGAGAATATATCTGCCGAACAAAACTCCGCATTGGCAATAGGGAGGGCATCTGGCCAGTAAACATTCTGCTAGCTTCATTCAGTTGCCCAGTCTCCACCCCACAAGGGATTATGGGGTCATTAAAAGATGATGATGATATGTGGAAGTTGCTCTATGATAAGTTTGGTTTGCAGTGAAGAAGTGGCTCATTCGACCCTTTCATGAGTGATCCAGGTCACGGTTGAAGAACATTGCAAAAGCTCGTTGCCTGTTTGGGACAGAAGAGCCATGCCAGTGAGAACTGGGTGTCCTTGGGCAGGGCTGAAGAAGATGTGGGCAGCTATCAAGTTACTTTTATGGTTGGAAGGGAGTGTTGACCACCCATTTGTCATCTTGGCCCAACCAGCATCATCCAAAGTTGGTTCCTCAAAAATCAGATTGACTAAGCAGTAGTTCTCTGCGTGTCTGTTAATTTGTAGATAGAAGGTACGCTAGATAGCTCTACAGATCTTTCTCCCCGATACACATGAAGAAACCAAATCTCATGACCTTCATCTAGAACAGAGATGTCCAATCTTGGCCAGTTTAAAGACCTGTGGACTTCCAACTCGCAGAATTCCATAGCCAGCATGGCTGGTTGTGGAATTCTGGGAAGTCCACAAGTCTTAAAAAAGTGGCCAAGGTTGGACATTCCTGGTCTAGGATAAGTATCTCTAGAATAAGGGTTTAATCTAAGTGTCCCTAGATAAAGATGGCCTATTGACGGAGGACAAGGAAGATGATCCAACTTTCTTGAGAGTCAGAGTCTTGGTCAAACAGGTTGACTATCTCTCAGGTTCCTTTGGGACCATTCAGAAGTCTTCCTCAACCCGAACAGCTTCAAGAAGACACGCAGACTCCAACTCACCAGAAATTCTGGGAGTTGAAGTCCATTCCGAAAAGTTGAGGCTGAGAGATGCTGAGGAAGATGGTTCCAGAATTTCTTCAGATGTTCTCCTGCTCTTTGGAGAAGACTCTGAATGGAGATGTTGGCCAGGAATGACAGAATAAGCGACACCACTATGAACCAACGGGGAAACTGGTTTCTGGATAGATTTAAAATGGGAACTCTGCAAGGGTTCTTGGTCTTAACTGGGGGGTCTTCTTGTCTGTGACAAGGTCTTCTCCAAACCAGGACTCCATCTTAACAAACACATCCACACTGGAGATGTTCCTAATGGGAGAACCACGAGTTAAAGCAAGCTAATTTTTTTTACCATGCGATCGCCTCATTTAAGCATCTGTAGATTGTGAGGGTTTATTATTATTTTTGCAATGTTTATATAACCTGCGTTGACAAGTTGGTGCTATCAATCAGTGTTCCTCAACTTTAAGATGTGTGGACTTCAACTCCCAGAATTCCCCAGTATAGGGAATTCTGGGAGTTGAAGTCCACGCATCTTAAAAGTATTAGGTTGAGGAACGCTGGTATAAATAACGGAGAAAAGTTTTCTTCCTTCTTTTATCCATATATGCCTCTCATCTGAATTTTGGTTACTTTGGTGACGCGGTTAAGGCACCGGAAACCAGGGGAATGTGAGTTCTAGTCCTGTTTTAGGCACAACGCCTTAAAAACTGAGCCACACGCTTTTTCTGAGCCCTGGGAAGGAGGCAATGGCAAACCAGTTCAAAAAAATACAGTTTTGTTTAGTTGCTGAGAATCAGGCAAGGCTGATTTATTTATTTTTAAAAGCACCATTTTTGTTTTTATCGCTTTGGGGGAAATTTCCCCACCTTCACCGTAGCTGAATTGGGTTGTGTTAAATTTGCGATGCCCTGGAATTGTACACATTTGGGCCCTTGCGGGTTCCTTTAGAAAGGCATCGTACAAGCATGCATTCAAACACGGGGTGGGTTCAAACTCTTAAAAAGATAAGAATGGCAGCAAGCACACCGCTGGTTTGTTTCTTCCCCCTGGTGTGTAGCGGTTTTGTGAAAGGCCAACCGAGTTGAACACTTGATGCCAAGTTTAACTGACATAACACAGTTAATTAAGCCTGTTGTGGGTTTTGCAAGACTCTCCTTCGTTGGCCAAATATGGTTTCCTATCTAGGTTAGTTGCTCAAATATACAAATATATAGTACAGTAGAAGCCATTTTAAGGCACAACAGGCTGTATCTTAGCAGGCTTGGTTTAGCAGCTGCAAAGGGTTGCGAGCAACTTTGTTCCTTTCTTCCTCCGTTGCTTGAAATCAACACGAAGAGAGGCGTTCTTGAACGGTGTTTTGGCTCATTCACAATTAAACCCGCATTGTATTAGCTAGTCAACCAACTAGACGTAACGTGTTTGTTGCAGGAAAAATA